GACGGGTGGAAGCTGGTCTGTATGTATGGAGCAGAGGTGGTGCTGAGTTATGTTGTGATCACCGTGTTTTACTGCGAGTGTAGGAAACGCCATGGAATCAGCGATGCAAATGTTGCTGACGAACAGGGTCTTGCTATTTAAAATTAGTCCCAAACGCTTTTTCTCTTCTTAATTCTTGTGAATTTTTTTGTATACAGTTTTGTTCTTTGTTAAATTCTAAAATGAAGCAGCTCAAAGTTACCTGTTCAAACAATTCATCCAAAGCTTATCTCATCATGCATGCTCCATTAAGACAAAACAAAACAATCGAAGATTCAAAGTGACATCCTGTGTATGACAAGTCAGTATTTTCTGGAGTGTCCCTTCATGTAATCTGCAAAATAATAAAATAAATCAGTCATCTACAGTATTACATAAAATATTTTTGGATTGATACTGAACAAGAAATTGTGAGACACAGAGTATTCTACTTGGTTCGAGCTTAATAATGCTTACCCGCAATCTCTTCATGCTTCTCTCTGTTTCATCAGCTTCAAAAACATGTGGAAGAGTGTTTTGAATACCAAGTCGGTTCTCTACTGTTAAACAGTCCTCAGAGATTCGTAAAATATAAAGGCACTTGTTCACCGGACAAGATCAGATTCTTGAAAACAGATTGTTGCTGAATCAGAACCTCTTGATTCAAGTTGATGCAGTTGATGAAATAAAGCTTGAATTTTGGGAATTAAACTATATGGATGAGAAGACGAAACCTCGTAACGGACTGGTAACTTAGACTTTGCCGTTGCCACTCCACTGAAAAGTCAACTTCCTTGAGAAGTTTCAGTTTAGAAATGTTTAGGGAAACACGCATTAAACTTTTGCATTCTTTCATATACAGTATAGGCAAGAGAGCCTAGAGAAGTTCTCGATCCACCAAGGAACTAATATTATTATCTTTATGGTTTGTTCTGCACTCATGCTTTATTATAAGTGCATGTTAAAACTTTAATGATGATGATAATACTGGAAAGGTCTTCAAAATTCCATTGATAAAATAACTTTAACATAAAGGAAAACATATTTGGTACTTAAGTCCATCATTTATGTTTCGCCTATATATATAATAAGCTTGTTGAGGCTGTTTCCATCAGTTGGAAGTAAATAAGCAAATTGTATTGACTAAATAATTATGTTGATTATAGCATTAGGGTTTCCAAGTAAGTGTGTGCAATAAGCTACCCTTGTTTTATTACTCTCTTTCTTGTAACTTGTAGTAAACCAAAACTGATTTCCTGGATTTTTCTTTTTAATGTGGAATTGAACATACAACTAACAGGTGCTACATTGAAAGTTACTTTATGATTGATTGGTGCTGAAGAAGAGCTTCACATCTAAATACTAGACAATAATATTTCACTCGCTT